AGCAAACAAAACGTAAAATTACAAATTTAATAATGAAAATGAAAGAGGAAGGGAAATGAACTATATAGTTTTAAGAAATTTGATCTGATAATCTAACCAAAGCAATCAATACCTAGATCTATAGAGAGAGACAACTCACAGAGAAGAGAAATTTGGTCTATCTAGAAAGGCCTCAGAAAAGAAGACGAGATAAGGTTACCTTTCAAATGCAGATTACCTATAAATAAATACTGCATAACCAATCTGTTCAAAAATTTTGCGAAAATTTATTTCCACCTAACACCCTAAAAAAGCTTTATGGAGAAGAGAATCAAATAAGGTAGCCTTTCAAACCTAGTTTGGATTTATCCCACTCATTCAATGGGATAGTCCACAGGCAGTATAGAGGGAGGGGGTTGCCAGGGGTGCCCCCCGCCCCCGAACCCAAATATTTATTCCCTGAAAAGCTAAAAATTTTCAATTTTATTGATTTTTTTTTCAATTTCGCCTCCCCTAAGTTTTGAAAATTTTTTTGCCCCCTCTACCTTTTATTTCTGGCTCTGTCAACTGTCCACAGGGAAGTAAAAGCTTCGACAACTTGGAAAGGCAAAGAGAATCAGGTAAGCTTTCCTTTTAAATATAGGTCATTTTAATAAGGCCTGATGACAGAAAAAATTCAAGACTTCATACATTTTTTCAATTTAAGCCTTTTGTTTATTTTGTCAATTTTGTCAATTTTAGCCTAACTACATGATATGAGTAACAATTTTACCAACTTAGCAAGTGAGTAAAGAATGCATGAGTAGAGTCCAATAGCTGCCCTAATAGGGAAAATATATGGTTTCTGCTTCTGTCCAATGCTGATAATACAAATAATTAATTTTCCTTTTACAAATCATTATTTTTTCTTAGATTTCTTCCATTTTTAAAAATTAATATTTTTACTATCCATAAATTGGAAAAATTAATATAACATATTTTTTTTGAAAAAGAGAATGAAAAATTATTATCTTATACTTAACACCATTGCAAAAAAAAAAAAAAAAAAAAAATTTTTGAAAAGAGAATAAAAATATTATCTTATACTTACACTTGAAAAAAAAGAAAAAAAAAAGTGCATATACACGAGTGCGCACATTTTTCCGTTGTCATAAATATATGCCTGCATTGCAAAAAATTAAAGGACAAGCTAAAAATTAAGAGAAAATAAAAAAAAAAAAAAAAAAAAAAGTGCATATACACGAGTGCGCACATTTCCGTTGTCATAAATATATGCTGCAATTGGCAAAAATTAAAAGGACAAGCTAAAAATTAAAGAGAAACAAATGTTTCGATTTTTCTTTTTTTGGCTATCTGGCCTTTTAAAAAGGAAAAATATTTCCATCTATCCTCCTCATTCTGTCAGTGACACTCAGAGAGAAGAGATTGATCGAGTCTATCAAGAAATGTCTCAAATGAATGCAATTGCTGAAAGTGAAGATCACCACTAATTACTGCATCACAGTAAGTCATAACTTTTCAGGAAAATAATATTAACCTGTCCTTTTCATGCAGCCACATAATGCTCGAACAGAAGCTTGGGTCTATTTGGAAAGGTCTCCAAAAGAAGAAAACAGAATAGTGATACCTTTTACATCTAGGCAACTGATCACTAAAATCAAACATGTTCTCAAATTTTAGGAAGATTGTTTTTAACTATTCTTCTCATTCATCCAGATAAAGTTCAAGTATTTGGAACAATCTTTCCAAGCAAACATCAAATCGGAGAATCCAATTACGCCAATAAGCCACTTGAAATGGTAAATTACAAGCATTCAATAACAAGGAAACATGCCCAAAGGTAAATTGGGAAACAAGAGGGAGAGACAAACGAGAAGAGAGAGGATATTACACTAATTAAGTTCAACATAAATAAACCAAAAATGGGACTTTCAAAACTGGAAATTATTTTATTACCTTCCAAGTGAAGAAGGGGAACGAGGAAGCATGCTGTAACATTTTCTATCTGCTCCAGCCATTCCATTTCGTTGCTGGAAACTAGCTGCATAAAATTTTAAGCTTAGTTGAAAATTGGCAAATATTCTATCTATTATGCATGACGTAAAACAACCTAGAGAGTGTTTATTCCCCAGAAATTTCTTGCTTGGTTAAAAAAGTAATAATAATAAATATCACATCCGATTCTCTATAACGGATACATTCATATTAAAGCAATCCAATATGCCTCAAAGGCAACAAAAATAAAGAATAAATGAAATATACATATATATATATCACCTTTCCAAATCTCAAATAACTCCCCATTGATGGATGAACCTGCAACATCTTTTATCACTTCACCCAATGCACTAAGTGGAGCAGTTTTTAGCTCCTGAATAATGCTGCAGATTGGTTTCCCGTTCTCTAAGTGTATGTGATTGTTTGGATGCCTAGTTCTACTGCCAGCATGCTTCTCAAACTCATGTGCACTGAGGACCTGCTCAAACACCATTTAGTCAATCAAATAGTAATAAGATTACAAATAGAAGACCACAAAAAGTTATTTTTCTTTTTCCAATTGTAAGAGCCCAACATACTTTTGAGAAATTGCACAATGAGCAGCCACACAAGTATCCACCACCTTCTATAATTCCATAGAGCTCTCTCTGAGAAGCCATTGGAAAGACATGAAACTCATATATCCATTAAATATATATTACCGAACTTTGCAGCATAAAAAATAAAAGAAAAAAGCATACAGAGAAATAGAGAACACAAAAACAAATAAATAAAAGCTTACCCCCGGAGAAAGATATTTCACCCGAGCTCCATCAAGTATGCCGGTTGATAACAACTTTTTGACATTTGTAGGGTAATTGTTTGGAACAACCTTCTTAGACATCTTCAATTCCATATTAGGAGCACAGAAATACCTATCTGTATTTTCAAGCATTTCTGCGCAAGCAGAGTAGTGTTTCCCATATTCTTTTTTATAAAACTGTTCTTGACATATCTCATTACCAACAGGTTGAGCCACTGAAGGAGCAATCTGGCTATCATAGTCCTCTTTTCTTTTGCTAAACTTGAACGTAATCTTCCTAATTCCAGATGAACTAGCATGCTTAGGAATCTCCAATACAACATGAGATGTAGATACAGAATCAGAAATGGCATTACGAGAAGTGTCACTTTGAGAAGCATTGTTCTCGCTATCATGTTCTCCTTCCTCACTCAGGGTGTCCAATGGACTCAAATTCGCAGAAGAAGTAGATGTAACCTCACAAGCACCCACTTGATTACACGCAGCTAATTCAGTAGGTTGACTAGTGATATCCTGGCAACTGGACCCATTCTCTTTGGGAGAAATTACAGGATTCGAAACTTCAGATTTTATGTCCTCATTTGAAGCTTCTTTTGCTTGTTTCTTGTTAGAAATTGGTTCAGGTTCAGAATCATCTGTTAGAAATTGATGGTCTCTTTTCAATTCAGCCCTTGACGTACTCTCTTTCTCAATACCCACCCTTGTCGAGATTTCCACACAAATTGCATCCTCTCCCATCGACAAACTCCAAGCATTCAAGATAGAACCAATAGCAATAAAACAAACCCTAAATTTTAATGGCGATTGAACTCAATTAGTCCTCTCCAGATAGTTAACATTAGATAGAATTATTAATTAGCAACCAGAAAGAAGCAAAATATTCACATAAGTAGCATTAAAATCGATCCAAGAACTTCTCAAACTGTCAACAACCGCTAAACCGCTCAATCAATTCAATTCAAAGAACCAAAGCCTTCTACACGTGAAAATTTATCAACGCCTACCTCTCTATATAGCCTGCAAAATCAATTCAAAATCTCAGAAACAGAATCAAGAGAGAGCCTCTAGATTGAAACCAAACAGAAGTTCCAATTATCAATCAATCAATGCACGAAATGGGCTTTAATGGAGTATCTTGTAGATCTAAGATTGACGAACAAAAACAAGTTCCGAAATTGAATGAATTCGATAAATTGAGAAAAAGCGAAGAAAATCTAATTAGGGTTAGGGTTTAATTTCTGTTAAAAATACAGCGGGAACGTGCAGAGCGGCAAAAAACCAGAGAGGGAAGCTTGGTTCGCGGTCCAGATTTAACTTTTTTAAGAAAAAGAAGACGGATAGTGTATTGACGAGAGAGAAAATCTATATATATAGTTCATTTTATTTAAAAAAAAAAAAAAAAGAATTCCGGTGATATTTGGAAGATACAGGAAGACAAGTGGATAAACGAGATGGGACCTATTCTTTTATCAATTCAGTTAAGCCAGCTGTGCCTGTTATATTTTGCCACGTGCAATAAGCACGTTACGTAAACAAAAGGTAAGTAGATATATGGCGCCAAGGGACAAAGGTGAATGGTGGATCTGGATCTAACTGAACGTGACAGTTGGATCGTCAGGACGGGCTTGCAATTGGATACCGAAATCGATTAAATGGGCCTGGCCCAGTAGAGGACTAAAATTGATGACCAAAGTGAATTTGTGGAGAAAATTGAATAATTGAAACCAATTAGGTCTTACAACGAAACTTACAAATTGAATCACTGATCTAATATTTAAGTTTCTTTACATGGAAAAATTACTGTTTAGTCCCTAATTTTAGACCAAATTAATAACATCATCCTGTATTTTAGTAAAATTATTATAACATTTCTAAAGCTTGTTTCCGTCTAACTATATGGTCCTTTCGTCCAAAAGTGCTGATTTTTTCATTAATTTTATATAGACTAACGTTTTTTGTGATGTAAACTTTCGTTATTATTATTCGGTATAACTCGTTGTTTATATTCATTAATTTATTCTTACATAGTATTAAGTATGATTATAATTTTTCTCTTGTATTCTCTAGATATTCATATAATATTAAAACATGATTTTAAATATAACAACTTTAAATTAAAATTTATTTCTATTTAAATAATATTTATATTATAAGTGAATAGTATTTTTTTTTAAAAGACTAATTTTATTATGATAGGACAACATTAAAAGTCAAGTATATTTAATAAAATAATTATAGACGATAAAATAAAAAATTATTATTAATTATAATATTAGACTTTAATTTTTTTTGAAAATCAAAAGATTAAACTTAATTAGCATCGATTTCTTTAAAAAAAAAACATAAAAGCATTTGATTAGAAATAATAAACTACTAATGGATTAAATTTTAGCGTTCCATCTATTTTTACACGATTAAAAGAGGAATAACATAATAATAAATAAATATACACTGATATTAATTTGATTAGAAATAATAAACTACTAATGAATTAGATTTTAGCATTCCATCCATTTTTACACGGTTAAAAGAGGAATAACATAATAATAAACAAATATACATTTATATTAAATAAATTTAATATATTATATTCATTTATAATTTTAAAATATATGAATTAAATACATATATTTTGGATAAGTTAAAATAAATAAATTAAAGAATTTAGATTTTAGCATTTTCCAATCCATTTTTACACGGTTAAAAGAGGTAATTAACATAATAATAAACAAAACTATACATTTAATATTAAATTAAAATTTTAATATATTATTTATTCATTTTATAATTTTAAAATATATGAATTAAATACATATATTTTGGAATTAAGTTAAAATAAATAAATTAAATAGGAAAATAGATTTAGATAAATTAATAAATTATTTATTTAAAAATTATTTAGATGAATTAATAAAATTTAATTATGTTATGAAGTAATCATGAAAACCAATATTTTTTTTTCGCATTTTTTAAAGTTTATTTTAAATTTACAAAACAATAATTTTTTTTAAAATAATTAAATAATAGTAATAATCAATTATTGGAAATTCAATTAAAATAATAATAAATAATTATATTTTTTAATTCCAATTTCCCAAAGAAAAATAATAAAAATAACTTTATAATAATTTTTTTTTATCAATTAAAGAAAAAATATTAAAGAAAAAACTCTAAGTTATCAATTATTAAAAAACTCAAGTTTACTTAAATAAACTTCCAAAACTATTACCAATTATCCAAATGAACTTAGTATATTTTAAGATTTTAAATTTTCACTAAAATTATTATAAAATTAATTTTTAGAAAAAAACAAAACAAAATTTTACAACCATATTTATGGGGACCGGACAAACAATCTTCTTAAACTAATAATTTAAACAATAAGAGCTTTTTATTAACAAGAAACAAAAAAAAAAAAAAAAGATTCAAAACCATTCATTCTTTTCTTCTCTCCCTCTTTTCTCCCCTCCCTTCGTTCTCAAACCACAGTAAGAGGGTAATCAAAAATATTAAAATAATATAATAATTTTTTTTAATCAATTAAGAAAAAATATTAAAAAAACTCTAAGTTATCAATTATTAAAAACTCAAGTTACTTAATAAACTCAAACTATTACCAATTATCCAATGACTTAGTATATTTTAAGATTTTTAAATTTTCACTAAAATTATTATAAATAATTTAGAAAAACAAAAATACACATATTATGGGACCGACAACATCTTAAACTAATAATTAAACAATAGACTTTTATAACAAGACAAAAAAAAAAAAAAAGATTCAACCATTCATCTTTCTTCCTCTCCCTCTTCTCCCCTCCTTCGTTCTCAACCACAGTAAGAAATCACTATTCTCCATGTCTTTCGCTCTCTCTTCCAAATATACTATTAAAGTCGAGCAAAATCGCAATGGTTTTATCAGGAACATTGACAGTTTGACACAATCATAAAAACTCAGTAAAAGAAACTCAAATTTCTTATTATATTGCTAAAAATTCCAAATTATTTTGTTAAATTCAGTGGTATTGTAGCTGCAAATTTTTTATCATCATAAGAACTAAAAGGAAACTCAAAATTTGACCAATTTATTCAAAATGAACTAGTATAATATATGAAGGAAAGCTAGAATAAGCTTACCCTTGCATCAAAATTCATCGGAAAAGCTTAGAATCACCAGAAACAATGGCTGCTGATTTCTCTCTCTTCTGTTGCATAGAGAATGAGCCGGATTACAGAACCCACTCTCCACCTCATCCACGTCCGTCAATACATGTTCTCTAGCTGAGAATTTACAGGATTCGATTTTTACAATGGGATTGGGGAAAGGGATAATTATTTCCATTAACAGGTTTTAGAAAGTCCATTAAGTCTGCAATCTACTCCAGCCGAGTAACCGTACCTTTTCAAGCAAAGATAATCTCACGGCGGCCTATATTCTTTGTCGTTTCGTCGTTGGACAGTGCATCAATCGATAACTTCCACAGTACTTTGAACACAGATCAATCGAAAGCATTGTAGCAAGCTTGAGCCATCTCGTCATATTTTTGTCTTTCTATGTAAAATTAACAGAAAAATCAACACTTTCGGAGGGAAGAACCACTGGACGAAAGCAAATCTCAAGGATGTAATAATAATTTTACCAAAATGCAGGGACAAAATTATTAGTTTGGTCAAAAACTCATGAACTAAGGTAACTTTTCCCATCTTTACATAATAAAGATGAACTGAGAACTAAAGAGAAATGGCTACAAGTGATGGAGAAAATGTTTAATCGGATCATGTAATGTGAATAAATTTGTCATAATTACCCTTTAATATGAAGTAAATGGAGGAAAAAATTTCTCCAACAAGGAATATGTCTAATATTTTTGAAAGAATTGAATTAGTCATACTGTATCAGAAAGAAAATCACAGGCACGATTCTATAAATTTACCGTCTCTACCACTTGGCCACGTCATCAAGGCAATACATAATATTCCCCTTCTTCTCCTTTTTTCTGTGCTTTTTCCTTTTTTTTATTTGTATATTGAATCTCATTCTTTTTTATTCCTTTCCTAAATTCTTGCCCAGAGGAAAAAAAAAAAAAGGAAATTTTAGAGTATTATAGATACTTTTTTTTAAGGGAAGTATTATACATACTTGATTTGTATACTCGGCAAAGTATTTATAATACTGAGTAATTAGTTGGTTGAATTAATTGGTCACACATAAAATATTTATGGGAAAAAAATGGGTTTCTTTAATTGTAACTTGTGAATTTCTAAAGTGAATTATGAAAAGATCAAATATATAAATTAACTCCCTAAACATCTATCTATATGTATAAATAATAAATAAATATATAAAAGCTAAAACAGAGAAGCTTAAGTGGCGCAATGTTAGAGTATTATGTTGCTTTTGTGGCACAATATTAAAATATTATTTTATTAATAAAGAACTTGAATTAAATATTATTAATAATATTTTCAACTTTTCAATAATTAATAAAATTAATAATATCTTAAAAACCTTTCACTTTCTATTTTAAATAATTAACAATATTGTTATTATTTATTTCTATATAAATATATCATTAATATTTTTTTTCTGCTATGAAATTTATATAGATATTACTTTCAATATAAATGAAATCATAAAGAAAATCAATATTAATGCGAACTTGATCAATATGGTGGTTAGCGATGGGATTATAGAGTCTATTCGGCGGCTTCGATGATTAATTGAGATATGATTTTGTGATTTGTGAATTATTTTATAACTATTAGCATCTTTGATCCATACATAAACATTTTATTTATTGTTACTACAACTAAGTGCTTATTTTTGTTATTAAACACAATGTCGAGTAAATCATAAAATTTCACTTTTTCATGGTACTATTTTTCTAATGAAAATAAAATTAGAATTCATTATCTAATGTGATCATGTGTGAAATAGATAAATTTTTTTATGATAAAATTGATATTAATATTTTATTTTGTGAAGGAATGGCAGTGTTTCTAAACTTATTTCAAATTAAGACAAAATTTCCTAAAGAATTTTTTAAAGAAATTTTTAATGTTTATTTCGTTGATGTTTGGATTTTAAATTATTTATTTAAAATGAATTAAATAACTAAATTTTTATATAGATTAATTTTATAATCTATTAAAATATTTCTAAAAATTGAAATTTTTAAACTCATATTTGTAAAATGATCATGTAATATGAGTCATTAAAATTATAAACTTAATTCATGAGAGTGTATATGTAGGTTAATATGTTAATCCTTTTGCAAGTATCTAGAAAAAAAGAATTGTTTTTTATTTTATTTTTTAATGGATATTAATAAATATAACAT